GGCCCTTATATAGGGCGCTTCCTATCTCAAAACGGAAAATTGTCTATAGGAAAGCCCAGGGGATGCAGTCACCCTTCATAGCGTTACGGTACTGCAAAGTGATCCTTCGAAACTGCTCAGGAATTAGAAGCCTGTGTCACAGCTCTGAGCATAGCTTCATGCCCCAGAATCTAGCTGTTACTAAGTACTTGGACAGGACCCAAGTAAGAGCAAAAAAAAAAAAAAAAAAAAAAAAAAAAAAAATGAAACGTGTATTGGAAAACAGACCCATATGAGGGGAAAGAATGAAAATACTGAAATTGGCCCTTACATGTGTGATGCTTTAAGTTTCGCCTCAGTGACAGAAGGGTGTCATGTAGCTTAAGCATGCTGAATTGCGAGAGACAAAAGGTTTCAGGCTCTTCTCAGGCCAGCACAAAGGGAAAGCAAAGCTTAATTCTTGTTGTTGTTTGCTGTTTTGTTTTTGGTTTTTTTTTTTTTTAAGATTTCTTTGGTTTTAATTATTTCCGTGTGTGAGTGGGTTGTGTGCATGTGAGGGCCAATGCCCTAAGAGGCCAAAAGTGTTGGGTCCTCCTGGGAGAGGTACCAGGTGCGGGTGCTGGGAACCTAACTCAGGTTTGGGTAAGCTGTTAACAGCTGAGCCATCATCTCTGCAGTCCCTGGTTGCTTGCTCATCTCCCTCCCTCCCTCCCTCCCTCCCTCCCTCCCTCCCTCCCTCCCTCCCTCCTCCCTTTCTCACATATGAAGTGATGGGTTCCACTATGGTGTTTTCATACATACTTTGTGCCTGTGGGTTCTCACTCCCCTTCCTTCCTCCATCTTCCCGGCCTCCTCCTGCAAGTGCCCTCCCTAGTTGACTCTCTCCTTTGTCATGTCATTCTTTAGCTGAACAAAACCATTTAGGAACACCTATGGTGGTTATAAAACACACTCTAGCTCCTATTTGTAATTGTGCGAGAGTTCCATTTAGAAACAAGACATATGGATTTAGAACCAAGGGCCCTAATGCTACAGAAGACACAGAGAATACAAAGTATACAAGGATATGAATATGATGGGGGCAGTGTTAGTACTCTATCAGGTTCCCTAAAGATGGCTGTCATTGCCAGTCCTTTGGAAATAGTCCTTCATATAGAGTGGCAATCCCTTTCCCCTATTTTGTAGTGCTGTTTATAATACTAAAAACCAAAGTTTTACTAATGACAGCTTATGTTGGAGGAGAGGAGGGAGGGAAAACTGCATTAGGGATGCGAGATAAATGGAAAAAATTAATTAATTAAAAAAAAAACCTGAGTTCATATAAAAACCCATGTAGAAAAGCCACACTCATAGGATCCATCATTGAAAACTAGCAAAGACAAGATATAAATTTTGGCATAAGCTATTCAGTGTACCACTCAGGTTCAGGGTGATTTTCAAGGGAGATACTAAACTCTAGAGGCCCCTGAAAAAGTCTAAAATACAAAAATACAAGTTAGCCTAGCGTCTACTTATCTCTTCCCTTTCTTTGAGACATATTCAAGTTTTATTTGTATAAAATTTTCTTAGATTTTTGTGACTATTCATTGACATCTTTATCATCTTAATGGACTGCAATAATTTTCCCTATAAAATTTCACTTCTCTGATCTTTCAAGTTTAGCTGACATATAAAAATCTCTAGTAATGGAGTATCAAATAATTTTGATACATGTATGCATCAAATGATACTAAAATAAAATAAGATATATTTATCACCTTAAGTGGTCATCAAATTCTTTATGAAGAAACTTTCAAAATCTTTTCTTTTAAGCCTTTTGAAATACACAATGTTAACTATGGATATCCCTCCATGCTATCCAACATCAGGAGCTACTCCTATCTCACTGTGCTTAGTATTCTCTGGTCCCTCCCCCCCCCCCATCTCTGCTGATACCCAACTGTGCTAGTTTACATGAGAAAAAGCCTCCCATAGGCTTAAGCATTTGAACATTTGGTTCCCAGTTAGTGAGTGATGCTCAACTTTGCTGGAGGAAGTACATCACTGAGGGCTTGCTTTGAGAGTTCATAGCCTTGTCCGCTTTCAGTTTATTCTGTTTCCTTTTTGTAGTTGAGTATGCAATCTCCTGGCTCCCTGTTCTAGCCACCTGCTACCATGCCACCCTGCCCAAGCCATATGCACCCTCCCTCTGGAACTGTAAGTCCAAATAAACTCTTTCGTCCATGAACCATTTTGGTCACGGTGTTTTTTCACAACAATGAAAAATTACTAATACACCTCCTCTCCTGGCCTCTCATAACCCCTATTCCATTCTCTTGGACTATCCCTAACATCCATGTAAAAGTAAGGAATTATATAACCCTGCTTTCATAAAGCAACCACCAAGTTAATTAAGGAGACAGAGAAAGATGACTCTTCCCTAGAGATGTATTTCTAGTAACAAAAATCAGAATATATTTATTCCATTCTAAGTAGAATATTTTTACTGTTGTAAAAGATTAAGTTTCTTAACATACCCAATGTCATGTGTGTTAAATACCTACCAAGTAAAGTATGTTATTGTTATCCTCATTCACAAAGTCTTGTTATCTGGATATCTTTCATCTGTAGCATCACATTACTCCTCAGTCATGTGTGTTACTTCAGATTCAAAGCTGGCCATCTTCCGGAGTTTTATCACAAACCAGAACAGTTGCAGACCTGAAACTCACTTGAACACCCCACACTCTCTTTCCTCTAATGGGTCATAGTGCTGAAAATCTACAGAACTCAATATGGCCTCAAAATCCACCTTAGCATAGTATTCCACACACCACTACTTAAACAAATAACCTGGGAGTTAGAGTAATTTACCAATAATAAAAACATGGTTTTCTTTTTTTCTCTCTTTCCCATTCTGCTTCTCTGGTAAAATTTACTGTTTGACCGCCCTGAGGGTTTCTTTTAAACGCAATAAAATTGCCTTCAAGATTCCACTTGAGTCCATTCTTAAATTCCTTTAGCAATAAGACTGAGACCCTCAAGAGGAGAAAAAGCTTCCTCTAAAATGATAATTCAGACAACTAGATAGGATGCCACCCAGAATCTTTTAAGGGATTAATACCCACCCTTTGTTAGCTCAAAACATGCTGAAGAAATAGACAGTTTCCAATCAAGAAAAACACATCAAGTTCTCCAGATACCCTTGAGTCAATATATCTTTAATTGAACAATAATATAGATAGTTAGACATGAGTATAGATATCCTGAGGACACTTGCCTGAGCAAACTTTGGGTGTCCGACAGGAAGTCAGGCTAAAGACATCAAATGTATGCAAATAAGTTTCTGATCCCCACATTCACGAGGCTTCTTCTCACATGAATGCCAAGTAGACTATGCCAGAACATTAAAAACAAGTTCAGACACGGAAAGCATTTTCATTTTTCATATAAAACAGCATCTGCCTTTTCCCATGCTGACTCGGCAAGGCAGCTTATTTACAAATATATAAATAGCTGCAACTTTACTCCAGGCCCATTGAAAACTCAAAATGGCATCATGCAAGAGAGGCATCCTAGCATACTTGGCTCTATGAGTGAAATGCAAGTGGAGATGAGCCAAGTGACTTGACACTGGCTAGTCAGCTTAACCAGACACCCTTCAGTTTCCTGTCATGGAGGAACCCAGGGTTATGCTCTGCAGAGCCAGAAAATTCACTTTCATTGATTGTCTAGAGACTGGGGAATGATTTAGAGCCAAAGGTTGGAAAGCCAACTCCAATTTACTTATAATCCTGTGGGCTCAAAGGGAGAATAGCATCTCCTAATAGTGGCAATACATTTCAAATCAGCTTATTCTGCTTTTGTAAAAGTCCAGTGAATTTAGGATGACTCACTCCAGCCAATTCTTTTCCCACATCACCAGACTTACAGGGATTTAAATCAACAGGAGAAAAGTAAGAAAAATAATACATCTTGATGTTTGGACAGAATGCACTGCCTTCCCTAAATGTATTAAGAAATGTTATCTACCAGTAGTCTCCCTCCCTGCCTTCTCTCCCATCTTCCTTCTCTGCCTCCCTCTCTCCCTTTCTACACACACACACACACACACACACACACACACACACACACACACTACCATGTATCTTTTTTTTCTTACGCATCCAAGCACTGCTCTGCCGCTCTCAGTGTCTGCTCATGAGGTCACCTGAACGGCCACACCTTATGGCACCTAATGAAAGTAGCGCCCATGGCAATCACCCCTCATATATGCCTCCAACATCAAATTACGCTCTCCCTTAATGTCTTTGTTTCTCATCAATGAGTGAGTGGAAGGATGTCATTAAAGTCTTCCAGAGCATCGCAAAATGGGAAGTTTAAAAGACACATTTCTAGAGGGGAAACCGAGTTATGAACTTGTCTTTGTGGAGAATCTGAGGATGGGCAAGAAGATGTGTGTGCAAAGTGAGAGCATTCATGCATGCTGTAATCATTTTCATGCAAAGACACCTATGCTGGGTGCTAAACCCGGGGGACTGTGGTGCTTTTCCACAATGATGTTCAAGTTTGACCCAAGTTATAAATACCAAAAAAAAAAAAAAAAATACTAAACTGCAAAACAAATTCTCATTACTTTAACCTCTATTCAGAAATATGGAGGAAGCACCTAAGGGTGAACTGTTATTCTAATTCACCACAAGACAGTATAGACATGATTTAATACAGTAGCAGTCTTTTGTTTCTGAATCTACATTGAGCCTTATGTTTCAAAATTCACTTTTAAAATCAGATATCAGTTATGTCTACTTCAAATGCTGATAAGGTTACACTGAAATGTATTTAATTTTCTAAAGACTATTTCTTTGTGAATGTAAAAGTTGTGATTGCAGAGTTTTATAGATAACAAATACATGTCGTATATTCTTACAGCATTGGGGACACTACTTAGCTTTTTTATTTAATCAAGAATTTTAAATATCCTTAGAAAATAATTTTTGAAGTATTGTTAAAAAGAAAAGAAAATGAAGTAATTTACTCACCTAGTGTCTCTGAGAAGAAGTGCGCTTCCCAATTTGAAACAGATTTTATCACCTTCACAAAATGCACGCCTCAGAGCAAAGCTCTCTGCCAAATCAAAGCCTGTAAAATATGGCATGTTATTAAGCTGAGCAATAAACTCACAGACATATTGATTTTTAAACAGGAGTTGGTTATCCATATCCACAGGTTGATTGATCCAAAATAAAATCCTCCTGCTTGAAATAAACTATTATGCTTGAGTTCTGTTTTGCTTATTTTCCTTTAAGGGTACAGGAGAATAAAGTTCTCTTTGCCTGAAGAGGATATAACTATCTCTCTGACGAATGGTTCATAAGCGGAGTTCTTCATGGCTTTTCCTGGTCTGATTGCATAGCTGTATTCCGACCTCAGCCTCCTCAGGGCTAGGAGAGCAAGTGTGCACCACCATCCTTGCTTCTCAGAGGTGTTTCAAGGGAATACAATATCAGGTTTGCTTTGACTTAGGAACTGACCTAAGAAAAACCTTGTGGTAGTTCATTGTATCTCTCTAGAGTATAAACAGAGCATTTGGCAGCATAAAAATAGTAGCCATTCTTTTCAAATCTAAACAACCTCTTACGAAAACATACGTCAGGAGAATAATATAAATATGGGAAAATGCTTAGAATTCAAGTGCAATATATGTGTTATCATCAAGTATACGTGAGAGAGTTGAAGAAAAATAGAAAGAGAATACTGGAAGGGAGGGAGGGAAAGCAAAGTAGGGTTTGGTAACATGTGCCTATGATACATTTTGGAAGCTGAAGCAGAAAGATCCTGAGTTTGAGGCCAACCTGGAATACACAAGAAGATCTTGTCAACAAACAAACAAACCGAACAGCAATAACAACAAAACCAGCAAAGGCAACACTCATAACAAAAGAAAACATAGAGACTAAGAAAAGTATAAGAATGTTACACCAGTATAGCACGTAAAATATGACTACATCTGGATACTAAAACATCTGCTTAGTAATAGTCTTTTCTCTTTTCATAACTACAACAGAAGGCACAACTTTTGTGGTTTTACATGGCTTTTGTTCTGCACCAAGATGAGGTGTTGTTACCCTGAGATTAAACAATATAGACCTCTGCTGACAGTATTTCACCTGTACCATTCATTTTTCCATTTTTATGCTGATGTTACGATCTTAACTTCCAAAGTTGGCAAAGGAGCACTCAGGCCCACCTAGGGAGGACTTCTCCTAGACTGGAGGATATAATCTCTGGCTTGGTAGAGACCTAACTTCCATCTGGGCAGTCAATGGGCTGGCTGGAGAGCCACCCCTAGGACAGGAGATGCACCACAAGCCATTCTAAAGAGTTAGGGAAGTGATTATTCCTTTAATGAGATAACGTACGTTACCTTCCCTGGGTCCCCACTTTCCAGAGCAGTGTCTTAACAGGGCTGCAAACATACAATGTCAGGTCACTACTTAGCAAAGAATGCTTACCTGAAACTTGAAGTCTGTTTCTGTCATCTTGATTTCTCTCCATCCTCAGTATAGGGCAGGTTGTTTCTATTTGAAAGACAAGTGTTAATTATTTGAACCAAAATTTCCATCCTACTTTTTCCAAATAAAATAGAATGCTATTATACAATCATAAATAAAATCAAAGTGAAAATAAAAATAAAACAACTATTTTATTAAATGTCTATGAAGTGGGGATGAGGGTCCCCATCTCACAGTGTGTTTATAAAGATTTAATGTTATTTTGTCTGGCCCATGGTGAGAACACATGATGCTGGTTATTATTAACTACTACTCAAACAACCACATGTTTCTGTATATTTGAATAGGAATCGGCTAACTTACACAGCTGTCTTAAACTCTCTAATCCAGCACATACTCTGTCAATTAAACAACTGAATTGTTTCTAGATTTTATCAGGTGATCCTGAGCCTTTGTAACAGAAGGAGGCATGAATAGAACAAACTAAAAAAAAAAAATTAGAAAGCAAAAATCTTTCTCTGTGGTAAAAATTGAGGAAGTTAACACTTCATTAAATTTGTCCATATTAGTCATGTATAACGAAGTGAATCTCTACTCAGTGAGGTACATGTCCAATGAAACCACATCATAATGTGTATTCATACATTAGTTTTTGAAGTAATATACTTACAATGAATTCAGACTATAACCACAAATAGAGTAACTCTGACAAAACTGCAACTCACTTTTCAAGTCATGCCACTACAACACAGTACAGCTACACTCTTAAATACATTAACCCTTTTACACTCTATAGTCACTAGCTCACTTCTCCGCATCAGAAATTTGTGTTTGGGTTTCATGTTTTAAATTTTAAAGTATAGAAAGGAAATTAACTGCTTGTGGCCAAGGCCATCTGCTTGGCTGACAGTGAAAAATCTCTAAGTTTCCAGTTAACCTATGAATGCCTCGGCCTTTCATTTAACAACTATACCTCAGACCTAGAGTTTTGACAAGGAATCAGCATAGCATACTGAACTAGAAGGATCTCAAAGACTAGGTAATGTTAGCACATCATTTGCAAGTAAAAAGCAAATGACGTATTCTTTCTGAATGACAATTAAAATCCCAGTTCCAACGGATCAGTGTGTGTGTGTGTGTGTGTGTGTGTGTGTGTGTGTGTGTGTGTGTGTGCATGCATTTGGAAACTGACAAGCTTATTCTCTAGTTTAAATGGAAAAGCAAAGAAACAAAAATAGCTAACGGCAAAGTTGAATAATAACTTGGAGACAGACCATGAGATATAAGGAATCCTCAAAACTACAGCAATTCAGTGGGAAATGGAGGGTCTTTTTAATCAGTTGGGTCTGGTATTAGATATTGATACAAGTAAAATTAATCTTGTTTTTTTTAACATCACATGCAGAAATTGGAGAAAATTATAAATGTGAAAAGTACAGCAGGTTTGGTAAAGCATAAAGCTTTATGAACTTGGAGAAGTGAAGGATTTCATGAAAGCTTTACTGTCCAAAGAAAATATTGATAAATGGGGCTTCATTAAATTAAACCACTTATTAATCAAAAGATCAAAAGTGTGGAAAGATAAACCAGAGAATAGGAGAAGGTATTTACAACATATTCATCTTAAAGAGAAGCTATCTAATAAAGTACCAAAATCCAGAATATACCCTGAGCTCCTGCAAATAAGCGGAACATGAAAAAGATTATTTCTAATACACTCTAAGCATCTTAAGCACTTCACAAAGCAGACTATCCAAATTAGCAACTCACATATTCAAAGGGGTGTCACCTCATCAGAAATCAGAGATGTAGAGGAAACTACTGAGATTCCATTAAATGGCCAAAGCCAAAGAACTGTCATTCCAAGTGTTGGTGAGGATGTGACAAATAGTTAACATTTTCCGCTCTTCTACGTTGCATGTGGTGATGGAGAGTGGTGCGGCCACTTGAGAAAACTGTTTGACATCATTTACTGATGCCAATGATGCATGAGCTCGAGGAAGAGAAACTCAATGGCCCAAGAGACATGAAAGCAAAACTGGAATGGAAATGACCTTTCTAGATAAGAATGCCTGTGCTATCACTACTCTTAGAGTTACAGCCTAAAAGTTCATCAACATACTGCAGAGGACATACTGCGGAACAAACAACGAAAAAACTGGATAACGATACAAAATGATTTAGCTTGACACATTGAAATGTTTGGATCTTGAGGTAAAATAAGTGGGGAAGTGTCATTTCCCCTAGATATGTACTACCTACTCCGTGTATATGATAACTATACAACCAATCTCTGTCACAGGGACAATTAGCACCAATGGGGTGCCACCTAGGAGCAAGTACATAGAACTCTTCTAGAATCCAGGATATATTTTACGATTGTATTTGAGTGGTGAGTATCTACATGAACATGTAAAAATTCAGGGTATTGTTCTTTTAACATTTACTGACTTTAGACCATAAATCAGCAAAATATCAACACAAGGAGAAAAGCAGCAGCCCTGTTGAGAAAATATTTATCTAAAAACCACCCTGAAATTTAAATTTTAACCAAAAACTCCCAATAAAAATGCATATTGGCTGTAAATGTCTCTATGGCATCAAACCATGAGAGAAACCTTGCATTCTTTGTAACATAGGCACATAAAGGAAAGATGCAGCCTGTGATTGGCAGAAGAAATCTCTGGGCAGCAGAAGGACTTCCCTTGCTGTGAGACTTTGGAAGGGAGGGGGAGGGTGTGTGGCCTCTTTCCAGTAGGAAACTGTAAATCTCATTTAAATTCTTCCTAGAGACTATAAGTTGATGTCAATGGAATAAACACACTGCTTTGAAATAAATGCAATCAACACTTCCAGCAATATTTATGCATTTCCCCACTAAGAGCATTTAGTTCATAAAATATTAATACCAGTTCCCACCTTTAGAACACACACTTTGTTGTGAACGGCTGAACAAGACAAATTAAAACTGTTCTAAGATTTAAGGTGCAATAAGATAAATTCACGAAGATTTATGAGCTCATTACAAAAAAAAAAATGGAGAAAGAAGTAGTGGCTAGGCCTATCATAAGCTTAGGTATGCTAATTAATTTAAATATTGAGATACACATTTTCATATAAAACAGTAGAAGTGACCATCACAAGTTGGGCGTATTAATTTATTCTAACATAAACATATAAACATACTGTGCATTATAATATTAATGTAGTTCTAGACTTATGCATAAGACTCAAATATTGTCACAGTTAGAGAAAACCAAGCACAGCAACTCTGTCCCTCAGAGGCTCTCTGGAGTATTTCAGAGTAATGAATGCCATCTTTCTAAGGAAGATGCACTGTCTGCAGAACTCAACAGTGTTACAAAAACAAATAGAAGTAGCTTTAGCAAATGCATGCTAAAGTGTTAATGTTAATAATTGTCAGACTTAATTTCCTCTTTACATGGCTTGAAAGACCTGGGCAGTCTACAGGATTAGTGGGATGTTGTAAGGGGCCACAGACAGCAAAAGGAAAGCCATCTAGCTCGGCTTTGCATAGGTCATGACTTTATCACCATAACATCTTTTAACTTTCTGGTTCCTGGTCATCTGAAAACGAGTCACCCTAGAGAAATAGGTCATGCAGCTACTCAGTGGAAGAGTAGCAAAAGACATACTTCTTGCAAATCGACTTTATTTGTTGAACATCTCATGAAAACATATTTTAAACAAAATAAAAACATACCTAAGAAACCCTTTTCATTCCTTAATGAAATGTATTTTTCCCATCATTTGTTCTAACTATGTGCTTTAAAAATGGGCCCTATTTAAGACACACACACGCACGCGCGCGCGCGCGCACACACACACACACACACACACACACACACACAATTCAATTTGTTAGTTCTAGTTCTGATTTTACCAGTAGGCATGGCCTACTAGATCTTGGGACTAGTTCACGTCTTTTTTTTTTAAAGATATTTTAAAATATATGTGTGTGTTTGAGTGTTTTTCCTGTGTGTATTATGTGTATCACATGGATGCAGAAGAGGGCACTGGATGCCACTGTACTAGAGTCAGAGGCTGTTGTGAGCCTGTCATGTAGGTGCTAGCAATCGGACCCAGGTCCTCTGCAAGATCAGTCAGTGCTCTCTTAACAATGGAGCCATCTCTCCAGCCCCATAAAATATGTTTTTAATGGTGCACAGAAATATTAAAAGTATGTTTATCAATAGGGTTATAGGCAAGGATTTTTAGAAAAGATTCCTAAAATACATAAAATGAAAACATACAACAGACAAACACATCTTTAAATACATGCTCTTTCCTATCATCTGGAATTTCCATTCTGAATTATGTGTTTTATTTAATCATAGTATTTGCTAAAATACTAGACAGCATGTTGAACTCTCTTCACTTTTTTTATCTTTTCTTTTATTTAAGATCTACTATTTCAATTTTGTCTTTTAATTGATTTAATACCTAAGCAGTTTGTGTCTGTTTGCTGATGGTCATACCAAATATGAGGTACTAACCTCAGGAAAAGCAGGAGGTACATTCATTCTTGTATATACAAAGGCAGAGGGGGGGGGGACTGAGTTTTCATAGTCAGGAAGAGTAAAGGCCAATGTGGTTTAATAGACTTTTTGTATGTTACTGACTGGTCTTAGCATCACTTACAGAACACTCCACAAATTGCAGGAAAAGAAAAAAAATGTGTCATTTGCTTGGTAAAGATGCAATTTATATTTTAACTTTGCTACAATGCACACATTGTAGCTGGAGAGATGGTTCATCAGTCAAGAGCACTTGTTCTTACAGAGGACCAGGGTTGTATTCCTAGCATCCACATAGCAGCTTACAACCATATGTACCTCCAGTTCCAGGAGATCTAACACTGTCTTCTGAAATCTGCAGGTACCAGACATACACTCATGTGGCACATGTGCATACATGCAGATAAGCCGCCAAAAACATAAAATAAAAATATCTAGAAAAATCTAAAACAAAGATAAAAATAAACTGCACACATCTCATCTCTACACATTGGCACTTTAACAGTAGTTCTCCTGATGTGAGTTTTA